GTTCCGGGAGGCCAGGAGAGCAAATCCAACAGGACTACAGGCCACGCGGACGAGCCGGCACAGAAGGAACAAATCTGGCCTGGCACGGGCCTGTGGCGGCACCCCGCAGACGTTCCTCCTTTACTCCTCACACCCGCCACCAAGAGCAGCCCCTTCGGGTCCAGACTGTTTCTCCTGGAGCTGGACTCCACCCTCTGCTGGTGTTTCACCCCACTTAGAATCCAGCCACCCTCTCCACCAGCAGGCCAGGGGAACTGGCAGCCTGGGTACCAACTTGCAGGGAGAAGGCTGGAGGTGAGCTAAGTTCCTTGAATAGCAAAGGTCAAGAAGAAAGGACGTGCTCCCTCCGAAAGACCCCAGTCCTCCTCTCTTGCTATGGGGGTTGATCCCTGTCCCCTCCCCCTGACACTTTCCTGACCACTGGCTGCTCCCAGGACACACCATGGCTGGCAGGTCTCCCTTCTGTGGCTCTACTTCCCTGTTTTCTCATTCTGGAATGACCTCGCCTCCAAGCTTTCCCACCCCAGCGCTCCCTCACCCTCCAGGAGTTCCCGAACCCCAGCTCTCAGGACTCTGGCTCAGTAGTTCCCTTATCAAACGGCTAGACTTGAGCCTCAAAGTCATCTTTCCTTGAATGCTTTACGCCTGGGTCACACACAGTGCTTTGCCAGGGTATATGTCTAATAAGTTAACTGGCCTGTGGGTCTGTAATGCCCATCCTGGAACAGGTGAAAGGGCATCAGACTGGAGTCAAAAGCCCAAGGCCATTCTTGGGGTGCCTGGGTGGCTCAGTGAGTTGAGCAACCGACTCTTGATTTCAGCTCAGGTCATGACTCCAGGGTCATGGGATCAAGCCCTGCTTCCGGCTCTGTACTGAGTGGAGTCTGCTTAAGATTCTCCTTCCCTCCCTTTCTCTCTCTCTCTCACTCTCACCTCCTCAGGCCCTCTCCCCTGCTTGCTCATGCCCTCTCTCAAGAAGGAAAAAAAAAATTGTCCAAAGCTATTCTTTATTAAGCTGTGAGCCGTTGACTAAATCACTCAGTCTCTCTAAACCTCAGTTTCCTCATCTATAAAACAGGGATAGTAGAGTGACCACTTCACGGAGCTACTGAAAGAATTAGAAAGAACACATCCAAAATTGTCTATGCTTAAATAACAGTAGCTATTACTACTATCAGGAGCCATGAGACAAGTGTTAGAGGCAGCGTCCTGGGCCAGGCATGTACTGCACAGCATTCTGGCCAAACTGAGGGTCCCATCTGTGCTTCTGGATGGAAGGATGGGCCTGGCCTCAGAGAGCTGCCCCAGGTTGGTACACATTAGGCTCTATTGTACTTCAGGGCTCAGTGGCCCGTGCTTCAGCCCTAGCACAGTTGGCTTATTAGCTCCCGACTCTGTCCCACCAATAGAGAGTTTGGGAAATTTTCTGGAGAAGTAAGAGCTTAAGGAGAGGACACACACACAAGGCTCCGTTTCTCCTTTCCTTCTGGGGAAGTGGAAAGGGGAAGAGTCAAGCCAAAACAGAAACTACATTCATCACGGTACGCTGCCCCCTCCAGCCCGGACGTTCTGTGGTACAGTTAACTGGAAAACCTTAGCAGGCTAAGATCTCCTCAGTCATTCCTGCCCCCTCCACACGCCAGGCCCTGTTAAATGTCGGGGATGTCCTGGCCCACTCAGAGGCTGGTGAGTCAGGCCCCACCACACCCTTAGTGCTACTGGATAAACTAATGAGGTCAAGTTCTCAAGGTCAGTCTGGAAAGGGCCAGTCATCTTCCGGGAGAGATCTCAGCCCCATCAGCCTACTCAAAGGAAGGTCCCATAGGCAGAAGGGAGTTCAGCAAAGACCCCTCCCAGCACCAGCGTTGACCGGACAAAAGCCAGAATCAGCTTTTCCCTCTCCAGAAAAGGTTCACAGGGATACATAACTGGTCAGATGGAATGCCTTGCTTATCCCCTGTCCTACAGATGTGGCAGCCACCCCTTTGGGGGTTGGGACCCGGAGGCAGTTTCTCAGAGACACCTGTGGACCTGGAGTCAAAAGACAGTTCTTGAAGTTCCTACTGAGTGACTTCCCCTGAGTCTCAGCTTGCTCGTCTGTAAAATGGAGCCAATCTTCTCTACCACTCAATGGAACAAGTATGAGCTGACATATACAGGACTTTTGGTCTCACCCACAACTCCTCTTCAGTGTAGGTGTGCAAGAGCTCAGTCTAATGAAGCATGCGAGCTGAGAACCTATAACAGGCCAGATGCTGTGCTAGTCCCTGGAGATATTTAGGGGCTCTGGGTCTGGTGAGAGAGGCTAACAGGTAAATAAGACAAGGTGCCACACTGTAATCAGCACATTCAGGAGGGAACAATGGACCGTGGGCTCTCAGAGAAGGGAGCATCTGACCCAGGCTGGAGTGGATGAGGTTGGGAAAGCCACAAAGAGTGGAGCCAATCTGACCCAAGCCTTGAAGAATCGGCATCTCCCAACCACAGGCAAGGATGATGAGCAGTCCAGGTAGGCAAAATAGCATAAGCAAAGGCCCAGACTCTGGTCTGAAGCACAGGCTCAGCCCACAGGTTTGCAAGCTGACTACCCCAGGGGGCCTGCCCCAAACACCAGGCACCAGGCCTTCACACCTCCCCTGGGCATGGCCCCCACAGGCTCCTAAATCAAGGGGACACTTCCTCATGGCCAAGCAAGGAAAGGAATCCCCAACCTCGGCAGAGGAAGCTGCTTCTGCCCTCTTGTGCAACTTGGCCCTCCCCCTGAAAGAGCTCTGTTCAGAAGACCCAGGTGCCCATTCTCTGAGTCTACCCTGGTCTCTACCTCCCTCTGGTAGCTTCATCTTCTTGCTCTAAGATCCCTCACTAATCATCTGCTCCTCTGGGAAGTCATTTTGGCCTTTCTCCCCTATCGGTTCCCAGAGCTCTGTGTACATTTCTCTAGAATTAATGCTTGCCATGTAACATTCATTCACTTCCAGAGTCATTTCCTGAGCAAACTAACATCAGGTCTGGGTCTTCTTCATTCTTGAATCCTCACTGAATAAATCCAGATCCTGCCCCCAATGCCCTCCACCCCAGCGTTTTATTTACTGACAAAAAGCTAGGCTTTGGAGTTCTGGAACAGAATGAGAAGTAAGCCACATCAACTGTACTCAAGCAATTTACGAAATTAAAAATGATAACCATGGCTCTCGAATGTTCTTAAATAAGCAGTAACGGCTACTATTTATTTATTGAGCACTCACATGCTGTTCTAAGCCCTACACATAATTTCATTTAATCCTCACGGTACCTCTATGAGGTAGGCACATTGCTACCTCCATTTTACAAATGAGGAAACTGGGCGCTTTCTTCATCAAAGTTATAAGATAATGTCAGAACTCACAAAGTCTAATTCAGGAGTCTGTTTGCTCAACCACTGCTCTACTATGGACAGGGTGGTGCAGGGACACAGGGGATTAGTGTTAAGTCTTGGACAGGGTGGATGGAAGAAAGTCTACCCAGAGGTGGTACTGCCGGAGCTGAGCACTGAGAAGGACAAGCAGAAGGTAGCCTGACAGAGAAGAGGAGAAGGGGCTTCCCAGACAGAGGGGCTGGTATGGAAAGGCATGGAGACACGAAATTGCAAGGTGTAGGCAGGCACCTGCAGCGCCATGTTACTGGACTTTAGGGTGCGCACAGAAGACTGGCAAGAAAGAGATCAGAACCCAGAGAGCTCTGTAAATAGTGCTAGGGATTCAGCCTTTTCCCACAGCAAGGAGAAGCCAACAAAGGGTTTTAAGCAAGGTAGTAACACCATGAGACTAGTGTTCTAAAAGGATCACAGGAGGGGCTCCTGGCTGGCTCAGTCAGGAGCTGAAAAGAAAAGAGGGGGAGGGGAGGGGAGGGGAGGGGAGGAAAAGGAAAAGGAAAAGGAAAAGGAAAAGATCACAAGAGTTAGTCTGGAGTCTGGGTTGCAGGCAGCCATGAATGGAAGTTGCTAGCAAGCCACCGCGGTTATCCTGGTGACAAACACATCAAGGTGATCACAGACGAGATGGAGGCACGGGACCAGGTCTGAAGCATGTTCAGGACGTTGGCTGGATTGGGTCACCCCACTGATGTGGGAACTGAGGGAGAAGAGGAACTGTAAATTCCCCGTCTCTCGCTGAGACGGGAGGGCAGAGGAAGAACGTGCTTGCAGGGAATGACACCAGTTCCAGTGAGTGCCAGCCGGAGTGGAGCTGTCCAGCTGGTGGCTGGACGGCCAAGTCTGGGGCTCCAAGAAGGGACTGCACTGAAGAAAGAGGTCTATGTGGGCGCCTTTTGGGTCTTTAGGTGGTGTAAAGCTGAAGCCATGAGAGTGGAGGATACCATCAAAATTCAGTGTACAGTGGGGGGCTGGGCAGGAGAAGAGAATGTGAAACGGTACTTCTGTCAGAACAGTAGAAAGAAAATAAGGAGACGCTGATGCGGAGGACGCCACAGGGGGCGGGGTGACAATTATATTAATTAGGAACGAGTGTCACTGGTGTCATACACCTCTAAGAACTCAAGAAAGATTCTTTAAAGGGCCCTTTTGATGTCAGTTAGGAAGTCATACACTGCCGTTTTCAAAGGAAGCTGGGGTAGACCGGATGACAGCGAGACGCAAACCTGCTGGAACGTGTATTTTCTTCCTCTTTCAAAGACCCCGACCCCTGCCCACATCAACTCCTAAACCCGGATTTCGTCCCTCGCCTCTACCCTCAAAGTGGAGAGCGAGGCTCAGGAGGACGATCGGGGTCCCCCTCCCCGGGAGCTCTCGGGTGGGCGGGGCCGCGGAGGGTCGGCGCCAGAGCCCCCCGGATCCCGCGTGGGGCGGAGCGAGGCCGAGCTGAGGAAGGGGGCGGAACCTGGGACATCAGGGGTGTGGGAAGGGTCGGACGGAACCAACAACGGACACTAGGCAAGGAGGTGGAATCCGCTGGCGAGACACAGCCCTCGTACCACCCGGCCCCAGTGACCACCCCCAGACCCACCTGCTCCATGTCTGCCACTGCCCGTGTTCCTCCGGCCCCAGCCGCAATCCGACCCCGCAGCCCCGGGAGGGCCTCCGAGCGGAACAGGATCTCCCGGCGGCTGCGCCGCTTCCGCCGCTGAGCCCGCCCCCTAGAGCGAACAGAGACGTGCGTAGACGTGCAGCCCCGCCCCTTCGCCTCAGTCTCCGCCCCCAAGCCCTTGGGCCTCATCCTGAGACCGGAAGTGGGGATTGCTAAAGTGGTCTTACTGGTGGGGGAAAATGGAGAAGCAGTCTACGAGCATCATCACTGTTGGGCCGCAGAGGCCTGGTACTGTGGGGGGAAAGGGGAACTTCCTGAGGGGAGGTTTTTGGGGCTAGGGGACAGGGCCTTTGGAGGGATCCACTTACTCTTGAAAGTTCTTTGCCTCCCTGCCTCTTTCAGCCATCCCGACCTAACAGGATCTAGTACTTCTGTGGTTCTTCCTAAGAATGCTCCTAGCTTGTCTGCAGGAAAGACTCCCAGACTAGAGGACTGGACAGTAGGATCGAGATGGGCACCAACCAGGTCTTCCACATAGGGGAACCCGTTACCCCCTCCTCCCTCTCCTTTCCCCTGAAAGAGAAGTCTCAGCACAGTTATTTACAAAGATTTATTACAGCACATGAGTGGTTCAGGCCTGGAGTCGGAGGAGCGGGGAAGGGGGCAGAGCAGCTGGAGGACAAGGAGAACCTGGCTTCCCCACCGTGTGCCCCCCTAAGGACGTATACTAGGCGGCATTCCTGGCATCAAAGCACAAAAGAAACGCAAGAAAGCAGCCTCTGCTAATCCATCTTCCAGGCACCCAGGCTGGGGAGCAGGAGTGATAAGGGGGAGATTTCCAAAATGTTGAAGCTGAGGAGAAGGATGCCTGAATCCTGGGCCCTGGTAGAAGCCAGAGAGAGGGGTGGTAACTTGAAATCCCCCATAGGAGAGGGGATGGAGAAGGATCTAAGGGTACCTACAATTTCTCAGTACCCTCTTTCCCCAGATCTTAGGGTCCTGCCCTGTGGGTTTCCTGTGCCCAGGGGAGAGGGTCTGGGGAGTGGAATTGTGAAGGATGAACCTTTGACGCCCCCCCCTTACCGGATTATCCGATGCAAACTCTCTCACATCCCGCCTCCCTCTGGGTAAATGGGGGAATGACTGGCAGGGGTAGGCATCAGGCAGCAAGTACCCAGAGACTCTGGGCATCAGCCAAAGGTGGGCAAACAAGCAAACACAGACCAGCCTTAAGTCTTCTAGAAGTCAGAAGCCACAGCCCTAGCGAGTGAGGGGGAAGGGTACAGAGTAGGGGTGGGGAGGGAGTAGGTTTCTGGAGAACAGCAACGCCCCCTCTACTTCCTTTTGAGAGGTGCAAGGCCGGATGCCTATGTGCCAGGCTCAGGGTGGGCAGGGCGCTGTGGCTCCTCCCCAGGCTCTGCAAGGCAAGCAGAGGGACTCAGGGCTTGGCCACGCTCACGAGAAATCCCAACCCACCTCCCCATTCCCCACTACCAAGCCTCACCATTTAGTGCCAGGTCTTCCACTTGGTCCTTGGAGCTTCCATCTCTCGGGGGCTCATCCAGAGGGGGCGGGCGCTCCCAGGGTCCCTCCAGACCCTGGCCACAAGTTGTCTTCTGCCCAGCTGGGGATGGGGTAAAAGGGATAAAAACTCAGGCTCTAAGTATCACACTCAGGAGTGTGAGCAGAGCTTCTCTGATGGCTGAGGCTAAGCTTTCTGAGGGCATCCTGGTATAATGGACATAACACTGGCATTCAGAAAGCTCTGCTGATGAATAGTTATAGGACTTAGATAAGTCAGTTACTACCTCTCTGAAGGGGATAGTAAGAGGGAAACTGTGTAGATTGTCTTAAATAAGGTAATAGTTACTACCCCGACGAGCCCGGCACCAGCACTCCAGGAGTGATGGCAATTGATATTGCTCCTTGGTAGTCTTGTCATTTGCCTCTCTGCCCTACTGCTTTTCCTGAGAAAACATTCTCCTCTCCCTTCCTCTTTCCCTGTCCTAAGGGTCTCAGTGGGAGATGACTCAATTTCCAACAGAAGCTTTTGCTCCGGGGTTGATACCCCACTCTCAGAGATGCAGAGAAGAGGCCCAAGCCATTTTGTCTCGATCTAAGGGATGGACACTACAAGTAGGGGTGGCCAACCGTTTTTCATCCCCAGATGATAAGGGACCAGAATGTTTAATGTGCACCGGGAGGGATAGACATGGCACAGCCTTCTCTAGCTAAGCATAGAAAAAAAACAGCCATGGGAGGGGCAGAGATCTTTATGCCTAGGAATTCTCTGGGCCTTGGGTCCTTCTGTGGAGATTTCTGGATCTGGGGCCTCTGGCTCTGAGGCCTTCTGTGTCGGTCTTAGGCCCTTCCTTGGCCTGTCTCTTCCCAGGCAGTCCAGGTTGGAGGTGCAGAGGACCAGGGTGGTTCTTGAAGCCTAGATTCTCCATTTAGACACTAGAGGGCACCCTCTCCCCTCTAGCCCAGGAAATAAAGGGAGAAACAGCCACAGGGTCCTGGGGGAGGACTTAGGAACCAGCTCTCTGCCCCCTGAAGACCACATCCTATGTTCAGAAACGCAGGTAAAAGGGGCCATGGGGCCCTCTTAGTTCTCTGTCCCTGTGTCTCCTTGTACCCCCTCACAGCCATAGCGAGGAAGTCTTTTCTTGGGTCTAGCCTCAAACCTCAAGTGCCTTGCCTTAATTCTTAGGGAAGAGAGGACTTATCAGGGACAGCCTGATTGAGAGAGGGACAGGGTCAGGATGGGGGCAGCCACAGTAAGCCCAGGTAAGGCACACGTGGTGGGAGGTCGGGCAGGTCCTCGCTGCGTGACTGCAGTTTACATGTGTCAAAAAGCTGTGAACCAGGAGGGGTATCCAGGACCTAACCCACGCTGCTGGAACCCAGGCGTCCTGGCCCCTTCAGCTTACCAGGGCCCCTCCTGCCCTTCAGGACTTCAGCCTGGCTGTCCTCCTCCTCATCCTCCTCGTCCTCCTCGTCCTCCTCGTCCTCCTCGTCCTCCTCTCTTGGGTACCCCAGCTCCCGAAGCTCCCCCAGCTCATCCTCCTCCGAGGCCTGGTTCTCGCTCAGGTTGCTGATGGACTGGAGATGCGACTCGGCAATGCGCTGCACGGCTGACATGGGGGGCGGGGGGCAGGAAGGCAAGGGTCAGCCAGGCCAAGAAGCAGCCCAAGAAGCTGGAGAGGCATGTGGCCCAGCCTCTAGCCTCCTCCCCATGAACGTGGAGCATGGCTAACCCCCTCGGGGGGATAGTTCAAAAGCTAAAGGTCCCAGGTCAGTCCGCTGGGGGCCAGACAGGGGCAAAAGCAGCAGGGGGTAGATCCTTGATCATGTTTGGCTCCTAAGCTGTCCAAGACGCACCCCCCCCACCCCCCGAGGCTGGCACGGGGCAGCTCCCCCCAAACTATAGGGTGCCAAGCTGGACAAGACCAGGCAGGTACAACAGCAGCTTAACATTCCGTGGCTGGAAGCTTGCTTCTCCAGGGACCTGGTACTGGAGACAGTGTCCACCAGTTATAGCCCCGGAGAGAAGGCATAGGACCCATGGGCCAGGGCCTGGGGCATCTGTCCCTTTTAGTTTGTAGCAGAGTGCCCAGACTGCCCCAGGGCCCATTGCTTGCCCCAATCCTGCACCATCCCCCTCCAGTGCTGGGCTGGGGCCCCACCCCCTGGCACCGCCCCCACCCTAAATGCCACTCCACACATCTCTGCCCTAGGTCCTGGGGTAGGAACAGTTCGGAGACTGAGGATAGAACAGTCTACTGCCAGTGAAGCCTGTGCCTAGGGATATGGAGTGCTCAGACGCAGCCCCCACAATCTTGACCCACATCCCCAAGCTTCCAGCTCCCTCTGTGGTGACCTAGAAAGCAGCAACCACCACCCACCCCCCCAACACCACCAAGGCCTGCTGGGATAGGGCCTAGGAAAGGAACAGTGTGGGCAGCTGAGGAGAAGTTTCCAAAAGATGGAAAGGACTGGGGGTTAAGAGAGAGGGGCCAGGCCCTGCGGGATTCCGGGGGAGTAGCAGGGGTTGAGGGGAGGCTGTGAGGAGTGGCGGGGGGCAGAGGCAGCACCAGGAGCTGGTGGGAGTTTAGAGCATCTGAGTAACCGAGCTCACTGACGCGATGCTGACAAGCTAGGGGCTGGGGTTCTACAGCTCCTTCTCCATCGGCAGGCAGCCCCTCCCCCTTAGAAAGCCCAGAGGGGTAGATCCAGGCTGGAAACCTCCGGTGCAGTGAACAGGGCACCGCGCTCCTGCCAACTCGGGACTGGCACAGAGGGTGCATTGTGTGTGCCCACTACCCCGCCCTGCCCCGAGCTCCCAGCCCGGTGCCTCCTGCTGGCTCTGGGCAAGCTACCCAGGCAATAAAAATGCAATAAATCGCCCTGCCCTGGCCTTGGGGACGCGGCAGCCCTTCACCTCGAGCCAAGTGTGAGAGCTGGGCCTTGGAGAGTCCCCCTCAAGCCAAAACTCTGTGTTGTCAACCCTCCCCTGGAGGGCCCTGGCTTCTCCCTCTACCAACCCCCAACTCTGCCAGGTGCACCCCCATGGCCAGACAGGGGCTGAAGCCTGCAAAACAGTGCCCTCCAGGTCCAGAAGGGTCCTCTGAGGATAGGGGGAAGGGAGGAGACGGAGGAGGTGGCTGCTTGAGCAACGGCTCTCTCCCCGGCTCTCTCCCCTAGTCGGGGGAGTAGAGTTCAGTTCCTGAGCTACAGTGAGATAGGTGTGCAGTGACTGTGCTGGCGCCCTGGGAGCCGCCCCGGGGGGGAGGGGAGGCCTCCCGCGCACCGCACCTCCCCTAGTGCCTCTCAGGGCTCTCTGAGGTCTCCCCCTAGCCCTCCCAATTGTCTTCTTCTCTATCTGTCCCCATGTCTGGGACTCTGGACCGCCACCTCCCAACCCAGGTCTCCCTTTTGAAGCTTAAAGTTCCCCAGCACAGCCCCCAGACTGCCTGCCTCTCCCAACTTGGACCCTCCTAAGGTGCAGCCCAAAGGGGCAGTGGTGGTGGGAACACATTTCTGGCCATTGCAGGATCCCCAGGAAGCACTTGGGCCCCATCGTCTTCACC